CTCTGGAGAGAAAAAGAGCTGTTCGGAGAGCGGCTAAGATATTTACATGAATCACCTTTTGGGAGAACAAGAGCCCCCAAAGACAACGCTGCATGCGGCACAGAGAATGACAATTACGACACCAGGATCCTGGCGTGAAAATGTTGTGCAACAATTTTAAGTTCAACCCTAGTGCCGAAGGCGGAAGTTCCTTAGATAAGGTTTGCAAATGCGTTGTTTTTCTTCAATCATTGTTGTCCATGGTTTTCGGGTATGCTGCAGGCCTTGTCGACTATTGACTTAGACTTTGACTTACTGTGATAATTGGAACTATTCTGCAACCATGGTTTGATGATGTGATGTCAAACCAGCCACTAGCCTGGTAATTATGTTCCAAGGGGTTTTGAGTCTAACTGGCATTCATTGATCACCAACCTAGACAGTCCTTGAACCGGAATCAGCTCTCATGCTGCATCATTGGATGCCGCGGTGGAGGTGTAGTTTGGGTTTCCCAAAAACGATTCACATCTGCAGCATGCTGTCTCAAGCAGTGCTTGCATCCTTTGGCCGGTGATGCTTTAAAGGGCATGATGGAGCCTGAGGCGCTTGGACCAGGTGGATCAGCGCGCTTGAGGAACTTGGTGGCCAGGGCAGACCTCAACGGTGAGAATGTGGTAATTCTTCATTGGGTCGAGAAATCCCAGCGCTGGGCTGTGCAGACTGTTTGTGGAAGCACACTTTCTGTTCGTCCTGAGAATTTGGAACCTGTTTGGGTGGAAGACTTGCAATCATCAACCTTGGAGGCCATCATCAGCAAGCTATCAGGTGGGGGACCTGTTCGGAAGTGATCAAACAACGACATGGTGGCACATCAGCTCATGTATATGTATATATATATATCAGTTACATACTGATATTGTATTTGTTATTGTTGCTGCACCGGGAAAGAAATCCATTACACCTCTCCTTAGACAGAGATGCTGTGATTGAATGTGATTGATGCCTTTGAATCGTTTGGGTGTGCTGGTTCTGGAACAACATCTCACCAAACTGCCCCCGGCCCGGCATGGTCTTTCAGTAAACTGGATGCAGGAGGCAGCTTGTCCTTAGAGCAACGCAATGGTCGCGGGAGATGCGTGATTGCATCGAGACACATCAAAGCAGGCACGTCCCTCTTTGAGTCTCGGCAAAGCAGCAAAGCCCCTTCAAATTTCCAGCAAGATTTTCAATGGGCATGAAGTCAAAGCAAGGTGAATGCCCAATGCTGAAATAGTCAGGCATTGCCAGACTCATGCTGGGCATACACACCCCTAAGGCCCTAAGCAGAGGACCATGAGAAGCAGTGCAGCAACCCCACACTCCAGCGACCCCAAGAATACTGACGTCCACCAGACGTACTTCCCTTTGGGTTTCATGAAGCTCGATCCCAATATGCTGATTCCCCTGAAGCCGCAAAGTCAATCGGTGCCAGGCGTCCAACCCGGCCAAATACATTTTGACCACACCATGTCCACACCAAAAGAGGACCCAAGCGGTGGAACCCTGGGCCATCTTTTGACCCAGACACAATGTATTTGGACGTGCTTAATCCCCTGCACCTATAAAAAAAGACCCCTATTAACAAAAACTCGGGTGCGTTTTTCTTCCAATACAGGGTCCCTGAAATCGGGGTTGTCCAAAATAGAGAGACATAGATATAAATAGGGTCAGTAGGAGGATCCTTGAATCATTGATAAATAAAAGTCACCCAGGAACATTTTTATGTAACACCATTTATTAAACTCGTATCAAAAATGGCAAAAACCTGCAGGTCGAAGGGTTTTCCTTTTCCCTTACCAAAAAGCCTTTTTTTAATTGTGATGTTTCATTAGACTAGCAACTAAAACTTTTGAAAGGTGAGTCCGTGCCATTGTGGGAAGGAAAGCCTGCTGGTGTAAACGCGGCGTGTCATGGTGGATAGACAGGGTGGACAGAGATGGGCAGTTCGGGTTGCTTTTTGGAACCTATATAATTAAGATCTCCACCAAAATCGGCAATGTTGGTAGTTTAGTAGCGGCTTTAAAGGGCGGTAATTTGAAACCACATAGAATTTAGGGGTTTCCGACATTGTGTTTTTTTGATCTGATAGGGGAGTGTTTTTCAATAGGTACTTGGAATTACTGGAGGGTATTTCACTACGAGCCTTCAACTGTGAGGATTGGTGTCCTGAGTGAGTGCCGGCAGGCGAGGCGGCGGTGGGGAAAACAGGCACACATCCAGCAAAATTTGACCAAGCAAAAACTGCACCAATTCCTCTCGGGCAGGTCGACAATTGCTATCCCAGCTTACTCAGCCCCATCCTTTGAGCGCCGCACTGAGCCAAGCCCACTTCGTTCAGCCAAGGAAGAGGAGCCTTTTCTCACAATACCTGTCCAGGGGAGAGTGGTGGATAGTCGTGTTTCGTTGGCCTTGGCCCAAAAAGTGCTGGCCGATGACAACCTTCGGCAGATCATCACGCAGCTTTTTGATGGCAGAGAAGGCCGTAGTCCATTCATGGATAGGAAAGATGAGGAGGCAGACAAGCTGGCGGCCGTCGGAAAGATCGATGCTGCATGGTTTAGGCAGTGGACGAGGATTTGGAATTTGAACTGCTTTAGGTATCAACAGGTGAATATGGGGCTCTTCTTGGCAGGCTCCATGTTCAACCACTCGTGCGAGCCAAATGCACTGTACCAGACGTTCTCCGGGAAACCAAAGGCCAGTTTCCGAGCTGTGCGTGATGTGGCACTTGGTGAGGAGTTGACTGTGGACTATACCACGCTAAGCGACCCAAGCGCGGAAGCACGACAACGCCAATTGGAGGATGAGAAGCTTGAGATTGCTCAAGGTTGTAGATTATCAGTGCTTGGCTGTTGGTTTTCGATTGTTGCGATTCATGTTTCCCATGGGAGCATAGCCAATCGAGATGCACCATCATGGAACTTGAGAATGGTCCCCGGAAAGACGGGGGGTTCCACTTCCATTTTCGTATGTCAGAGTTGAGGGCTTTGATCTTCACCCAGTCGCAGTCGCCTAGGAAACTGTTCAAGTGTGGATGCTCTCGGTGCATTGGTCCGGATTTCTCAAGGAGCATGCCGTGCCCAAAGGAGGGAAGCTAGAGCTGCAAATGGAGAAGAGCCGACCTGTTCCCATAGTTGTAGGCTGACACTCCACCCCGTAGAGACAACCAGAGGCCCTGAAGAAGTTCCAAACCAAGCGCAGGCTTCATGGATTCTTGTTGAGACGTTGCTTTTGAATGGGTGGGTCTTTTTCAATCAGGATGTGGTGGAGTGGTGGCTCCCAAGCTCACGTGGCTCACATGGCAGTGCTCCAAGGGCCACAGCAGCCTGGCAAGAACATGTTTTACATAATTACAAGAAGTTCAGCAAAATGCCAGAAGGTAAAATAACACAAATTCTCTAGTGGACATTCGGATTTTGCGCGGACTCGGAATGTTTCTTCCAGCCGTTGAATTTAGGTTAAGCAAGAGATTCCTCGGCGGCCATGTGGCAGGCCAGCTGGCAAGCTGCCAGTGGTTTCAATAATACCAGAGTCATTAGTTTACCCGTTTACCCGTTGATTCAGAGTGAAGAGCCCACTTAGGTTTCAAAGACTCAGAACTGCCAGTGAAAGAAGAAAGATGGATATCAGCGTTGGTCATTGACCACGACCTCCGCCATTCTAAGTACACCCACGAGCATTTCGTGGCGACTTTGCTGTTGGCCCTGGACACGCTGGGCCCACGCCATTGGACAGTGAAATTCATGGCTTCATTGCTGTTGGAAAACGCCAACATCAAGTGTTGTCGAGGCATCACTGGCTTGGGATCAAGCATGCTATGCTTGCTCCGGTGTTATGTCCATTGGGCGGAAGAGGTTGTCCCTGCAGAGTACTGCACAGTGGAATTTGTCGGCACTGTGCATCACAGTGTCAAAGCGCTGTTGGCCCTGAAATGGCAAAAAGAATCAGCTGCTTTGGCAAGGAGGTGCGTTCGCTACTACGAGGGTGTATGGGGCCCCGATGACACAGACACGGTGTTTTTGCAGATGGTGTCTGCGAAGATGAAGGAAGCGACATCTTTCCTTGAAGAATTTTCTTGGGAGACGCTTTTGCAAGAAATCGCGGCTTCATGCTTTACAGATCACGAGGGTGGACGGGATGACGGTCGAATTGCGCGTGCCCGCAAAGAACTACACCACGCTTTGGAAAGTGGCTGTGATCCGTTGTCAACATATCACATGGCAATGCCTTTGGAACCGGAATGCCCCACGAGCTGAGTCTAAGCAGCAGAACTTGGGACATGTATTTCAGCTCACGAGCGGGCAAAAAGTTTGACAAATTTGCCGTGCCATTGCACATTTGCTGTGATGCTTTGCAATGTGGCAGTTGAAAACAAGGGGTTCGCCAATCGTTTGTTGGATTTGAGCCGTGAGCCGTTTGGTTGGGGTGCTTATAGAAGTCTCGGTTGGAAACCCGTGAGGGCCGAAGATGACTCCAAGACTGCACCCTTCACACCAGACTGCGTTTGTGGCTTCTGAACTTTTTGTTGCCCGTGCGCCAGAGGAGCCTCTGGAGGTCACATGACATGCTCAGGTCCTGAGTTTTTGGGTCAAACTGCTAGAATTGGATGAATCTCGTTCACGCCTATTTCGACTCACGCATCTTGAGGGTGGGCCTCCAATCGCGAATCAACTACGCAATTGGGCTACCAATTGTCAATATGTTTTTCTTTTGTGTGTGCTTGACTTTCACCTAAGCATGAAATTGGTGCCAAAGAATCTGAGGGGGAAGGCTAACAAGTGTCAGGATGACGTCAGATTTGTTTTTGTCACAGTAGCCAGTAGTCAAAGCAACATGTGTAGGTTATTTGATCTATCATGTTCTATCCGTCTCTTTGTTGAATTGTTTGCTCTATAATTAGGTATGGCTAAATAGAGTACACTTTTGGCTCTTCGATTTCTTGGGGTTCCAAATTCACCAAGTCTCCCGAGATGGAGACTCCTTTGTATGGCATTTCGATTGACACCGGAAGACCTCCCAAACGATGCAAGCGTGATGCAAGATCGCTTCGCGCTCGGCGGTTGGAGGGTCTCCCCGCTCAATGATACAGTCATGGCTTTGGGTGTGTTGTTTTTGCAAACTTGAACTCTTTGAGATTCACTGATTGATGTGATGGGCTGCCATTTCGCAGGTCGCAAGAAATTCGATTTCCTGGTACTCACAGCCGTTCGATCCGTTCGTTGCCGGTTCGTTCCATGGGGGGCGGGACTGTTGCAAGATCACATGTCAATGTGTCACATGTCCACTATATTGAACTCACGTACGGTAATGTGGTTTACCTCTCCGAAGTGTTCACTACTTTTGGTCCGAATTCTTCGTTTGTTACCCGTCCCGTCCAACCTTGATGCTGAATATCACTGCCGCTGCCCACATAGACATAGACTATCTCCACCACCAGGCCGTGGCAATGGAAACCTGCAGCTGCTGCTGGACAGTCCACCTTCGAACATGACCGCCCTGGCACTGCCAGGCAGAACCGAGAGCTTTGGGCCATCTTGGGCCTCCTTGGGCCATTTGCAACAAGTGAAGTGGAGATCAAAATGCAGCCAGCCATCACCTTCTGTGAACGTTCATTGGTTTTGGAGAATGTTTTGGGTTACGACTTCCCAAGAAGTCTTAGTCCAAAACACCGCTATTCAAAGACCAGCGTTTTAGGTGTTTTTTCTTTTTGGTTTCGGAGAATTTGACCACAAGTTTGCAGGGGTGATGTGGTATAGCTTCTGATGAGGTTGGCCCCATAGCGTGTTCCAAGGCAAATGTTCAAAAATCATTGAAAGGAACTATACTACCTTCGGATGACATGGGAGTTTGAAACATACATGGGAACTCACACATTCCCAAATGGAAGGCTGCTCTTTAAACGAGTGACTCAATTCCCCCCAGATTGCAGAGCTATACCACACCGGATTTTTTTGCTGCCGGGAGGTGTACGTGGGCTGCATGTGTGTCACAAGTCCTTTCTCATCCTGCTCTACCTATAGTTGCCTAACGGTTAGGTGCCAACACGTTTTGACATGACATAGGACTTACCTACTCTATTCCCTATGTCACTTGACGCCTTAACTCCCATGTGGTTTGCACCCAGTATAGCCATGATTTGTGACATGCGTCGCTTTTTTCCTGGGGACGGTTTCATGTAGAGTTTGTGGATCCTAAATTGCTAGGGACCCAGCCTGCAGCTGGCGTTGGCAGTTTTCCACACAACCAGACGCGCAACTGGACATTTGGTGGGCGTCCGCTCTGGCAAGGGAACCCTACTTATAAGCTCTATAGATGCGTTGCCCTTACGATGCACAAGAAGGTTGCCAACCATCACACGAGTCCGCTGCCCCGGCGGGTTTGTGGAGGCACTTTTTGGTCACCGGAGGCTTCACAGGAACTTGGCGTGTTGCTTGGCACTGGTAAGAATAGGTTGGAGGCCATCTCCACTAGGGTGGAGGCCATTACTACTAGAAACAAGAACGCAAGAAGCTAGTAGGTTGGAGGCCATCGCGTGTTGCTTGGCATTGGGTGAACTGTGGAGTTGGATATCCCCACAAATTGGCACCTCTCATGTAGCCGGCAGAGGCCGTGGGAGGTGGTGCCAAAGCCTTGTTCTGGGTTGGGGATCTCCTGGAGGATCAGGTAGGAGTGTGCAAAAAGAAGCTCAGCTAAGTGGAAGAAAGGATGAAGGTCCCCATTCCTTGTTCAGGCAAGCGCGCGCCTCCGACGCTGAACCAAGTGCACAATGTTACACTGGTCCTGCTCTACAAAGTCCTCCACTTCCATATAACACTCCAAGGATTCCAATGAACAGAGCACCTAGACGACGAGGGTTCTTTGGGCCCATACCAGCTGGGTTGGGTCAACTGATTGCTGTCAGGATGGATTTCCGGGAGTGACGATGGATGGCTTTTGCCGAAGCTCGTCCGATCAGAGCGATTTTCTATAGGTTGTGTTCCCGGAAGGCTCAAAACTGGTTTGGGCCTCGGGCTGATGGGAGAGGGCATAGGATGGTAGAGGGCATAAGCATGCATAGGCACGGGGCGCATTTGATGGCGCTGGAATGCATGAGGAGTGTTCAATCATTTTGATCTTGCTTGTTGAACCTTGAGGTCGGTGACAAGTTAAACACTTCTATGTATATACTGTAAATGATCACTTTCGCCAATGCAGCTAAAAGTGGCTGGGCTGCGCTGGAGATGTCCTAATTTCTTTTCTCCTAAAGTGAAGAGAGTTTTTAGCGACGCTTGGAGGTCCCAGACAGCAGTTGGAGTGGCCATCAACCATGCTAGACGTGGGAAGAACAGCATGCAGATGCATGCAGCATGCGCATTGACACAGGCTGCGCTTGGGACCAGGATAACATGTTCGATTGTGCGCAAGAAAAAGTTGCACATGTCATGGCAGACATGAACACCATGTTGGAGCTCAGCTCTAGGAACCTTCCTAGTGATGTCATGGCAAGCTCGCTCGGTAGCTTCGGCTACCTGAGTTGTCTTTGCTTTAACAATTATGTATTGGGGGTGGTGAACTCTTCCCGTGCTTGATTTCGATGGTTTTAGTAATGGTTTTACATGTTAGGGGGGTGGCCCCCCCGGAGAATTTGGTAGTGATTTGGCGTGTCCACTGTGGTCTATTGCAATCTGTGGTTTATTGCTGGCTGCTGCTGCTTGTTGCTGCTGGCTGTACTGCTGGCTGCTTCCTGTACTGCTTGCTCCTTCCTGTACTGCTTGCTGCTTGTTGCTTGTTACTTGCTGCTGTCGCTGGTGCTGGTTGCTGTTTGCTGCTGGTTGCTGCTATTGCTGCTATTGCTGCTGGTGCTGGTGCTGGTTGCTGGTGCTGCTATTGCTCATGCTGCTGCTGGTTGCTGCTGCTGCTGCTGCTGGTTGCTGGTGTTGCTGCTGCTGCTGATCCTGCTGGTTGCTGCTGTTGCTTCAATCCTGAAGGCTGCTGCTGCTTTGCTGGCTGCTGTTGCTGGGGTGTGCATTGCCGGTGTTGGGGCTTTCGGGGCGGGCACTGTTGGTGCTTTCTTTCTCCGCCCTCGACCATGACAAGTCCCCACCCTCTTTCAATTTCGTCTGCGCAACCCCACAAAAACGGAACGAAAACCTAGGGTTGTGGAGGCCAAACTTGTGTGTTGCTGCTGCCACTAGTGCCCTGCTGCTGCTTTCTGCTTTGCTGTGCTGCAACTGCTGCTTTGCTGTGCTGCAACTGCTGCTTTGCTGTTGCTGTTGCTGTTGCTGTTGCTGTTGCTGTTGCTGCTGCTGCTGCTGCTGCTGCTGCTGCTGCTGCTCGTTTGCTGCTGCTGCTTTGCTGGTTTGCTGCTGCTGCTGGCTGCGTGCTTCTGCTCAGAACCTTCATGAATCTTCCAACCTCTACCTTTCGTCCACCTCCGTCGCCTCAAGTAGACAATTGGCGAAATCAGAGTCCAACCCAGGAAACAGTGGCTTCACTCGCAAGAACTTCTTTGACACCGGGCGACAGAGTCACTGGGTCATAGAGAGGCTGTGGGAAAACGTGCCGAACTGAACTGTTGAATCTGAACATGTCTTAAATACCTTGAGCAGTGCAATAAACATATCCTGAAAATTCCGGATATGTTTTGCTTTTCACATCCATTGACACGACGGCACGACAGCTTGTATCTCACCCAGTTGATTGATCGATTAGAGGTTAATCGTTTTCAAGATGTACCTGACAAAGAGATGTAAAATTCCAAGACCGCATGATTTGAAATACGAATCCATCCTGGAGCAGAGGTGATATATATATAATCTATGGTAACAAGTTCATAGAAGTTCACTGCAAGATTCAGAAAGATCCAGCAGTTCACTCCTTTGGAAGACAGCCACCAAATCCCTTCGACATGTTTCGCTGCACCATGCCGACGTTCCATGCCACCTGTCCGCCCTTTAATTGGTCTCGTTTGGCCAACCGTCTCCTCGCTGGATGTCGTGTCGATCGTTTGATTTCGTTCGATTGTTCTTTTCTTGTTACTAAGTAGCTATTTGCTCCTTGTTTTGCCCTTGTTCCTAGTAGCTTCTTGTCACTAGTCGCACGGCCAGGGGTCGCGCCCCCCCTTCGTCGCGTCGCGTTTTCCCCCCCGGACCGCGGACGTGACACCGCGGGTCACGGCACTGAGGTCACATCCCCAACTTCCGACAGATCGCCACGGCCTCTCCCAACCGCGTGAGACGAATCAACTGAGCAGCTCGGCGCGGGTTGAAGGGGGTCT